CAGGAATCTCACCCTTGACAACATTATCACCCGCAGGGAGAACCTCAACCTCATCCTGCCTTATACCTTCACAAAGGGTCTTTCCTCCAGACAGCTCTCTTTTACATACTTGCTCCATCCCACATCTTCCAGAAAGATCTTCTTTACCACACTTGGGCAAACTAAAGTGTTTCTTTGCTTTCCAAATCTGAGGGAAATCTCCTTTTCTGAGTTTCTGCTCTTCTTCTCTCCTGATCCTTTGCCAATCTCTCAGCTGAAAAGCAGCCATCATGGCTTTGCAGGACAGATGGAGACAAAGTCACCTCAAATGTACCTTTCCAGGGACACTCTCTTCTGCAGTGGCACCAAACATCACTTCAGTCAGCAAGCCTAGGCAAGATGCTGCAGTCCAAAAGGTGCCCTGTGGCACTGTCACGTCTGAAGCAGAGTCGCAGCCAACAGACAGCTTAAGCTAAGAATGTTAGCAGGAAACTGACAACTGGAGCAGGGACAATATCGGAAATTGAGTTCTTAGGCAGAAACTATTACTGGGAGATATGCTGGAGCAGATGTGGAGGACAAGATTAACCTAAATCCCAGCTTGGGAAGTGAAAGGCATAGGAAAGAAAAGAAAGATTCTTTCTGGGAATGAGTAGGGTAGGCAGTTCTGCTGGTACGGGTTTTCTGGGTTGTTTGCTTTTACCCATCTGTACAGTCACTACTGCTTGCCACAAACATACCAATGGTGAGGGCCCACATCCTTCAGATCTCAGGGTTTGATTTGAGTGCAATCTCTTGAGAATTCGAACAGAAAATGAGAGCACTCCCATAATCCAAAAAGAAAAAAAATACTCTAAGTCATGCTTCATGAACTTCCCTGGGGAAGGTCAAAACTACCATGAAGACAATAGTATCATGCCAAGGGGGATCCTTTCTGACTTCTAGTCTCTGGCTGACTCCATAGATTAGGTAGTCTTCACTTCCATCCCACTACACCCCATGAATAGGAAGAATAAACCCAACCATGCTTCCTGACTCCATCCTGATCCTGCAGGCAACCCCACTTTCCCCATCAAGTACTCCTAAAAGCAATTGATCAGGACTCTGGTGGGCCAAGGGCTGCTAGTGTTTCATTTTACATGACTGCTTCCCCAGCAGTGTTTCCTCTATGCTCCCTCTGCACATTTGACTACTACATAACTGCAGTACCACTTGCTCTTTCCCATACATCTGGAAAACTTTCTGAAGAGCAGCTCTGTGAGCAGTGAAACTCCGCTCTTTCACTGGTCTGCATCTCCTTTCTCTGCATTCAGTCATCTGTCTAAGGATTTCAAGCACGTATCACCCCTGCTAATTGCGTAGTAGAGGAGCTGCAAAAAGAGCAAACCATCATACGTTATGACATGAAGTGCAGACTTCAGGAAAGAAACACTTCCTGACAGGTAAATCTAAACATCTAAACATCCTTCAGGAGCTTTATACATCCCCTGAGGATCAAGTCAATGCATTTTTAACCAAACAGAACTGCTTGGCATCCACATGCCTCAAAGCTGAAACGAAGCCAAAACAAGATATGAACATCCTTTATACTCAGCTTCTTACTAAGTCTTAAATATCAATTCTGAATGCAAGCCAATCAGACATTAAAAGGCATACAGTCTATCAACCATCTTAATGTTTCTTAGGTAGAGCTTTATGCATTTTGACTGCATCATTATTCCTGCAAATATAATAAACTCAAGAATCAAGTCAGGCTTAACCTATTGGATAAACATTTGAAACACTGTACCATCAACACAGCAGCAGCTAAAATCCAAGACCTGAAAAACCTCACTTTGCTTAGCAGTTAACTGAAAATTTAAAAAAGACAATTAATTCCTCACAGGTATCTCACTTCAAGGATGGGCAGCACTGCATATATCTGTTCTGGGCAGCTTGACAGCATTTACTCTGTACAGATTTCTAAATGTATTCTTGTTGATCTGCTAAAGGGTGACAGTCCATGAGATCACTCTGAACACTGATGTAAACCCAACAGTCAGGTTACTCAGTTAAATGACAAACTCCCTATTCTCTATTCCAAGCTGCACAGAGAAAGCCCCTACACCTGACTGCATTTATGATAAGGATGCTCCAAGGACACAGACTTCAGAGGTCTGTGTTTGGTCTCTCAGTTTAAAATCTCACTTCAGGTCCTTGCTCAAAGAACATAGCACTTGAGGACATTGCATCCTGCTTACTAACGTGCAGGAAGGGAATTGTATTTTTGACACCCTGGTCTGTCTAGCTTGTCAAAACAGCTTTGTCTGGAAGCTGCAGAAGGGAGTGCGTCAGCACAGATCTAGCAACAGAGCTATAGAATTGCCTTGGCAGAATTAAGAGGATGATAGGAAAACACTGTATAAGATGTAAAAAAATGGATAATCCATTAAAGTTATTAGCAAGCACAATTTTAAGACCTTCATATTTTCATAACCTATACAAAAAGACCACAGTTTGAGATGCAGCTTGGATCATATACCAATGAGATAACTATTTGGAGACATCTTGGCATTTTTAGTCCAGTGTAAAACCTTAGCATTTCCTTCATAATAAAATTTGGTTTCCAAACCCAAATTTTTTTCAGAAGGAAGCACAAATATGTGCTGAACAATCCACATGAGATTTGATAAAAATGTCTGCTTACTGGAGAAAGAGACATATAAGTAGGAAATACTATCACCAGTATTTATCAGAGGCAGCATCTTCTTCACTAGGGTCACAAGTAAAGGTTCCAAACCAGAAAAACTTGAAGCCAAGCTGGAAATTTGTGTTAGGCATAACTGGCAGGGTTTGGGTGACAGGGGACTGACTGCAGGGGTCAACTCTGTGGTCCCAGACAGTTTTGGCAATGGATGGATGCAAGCCACCATGTACCAACACTGCCATGTGCCAACACTCAAACGTAGTTAAAAAAAGAGCAACAGCCACTGGGGGCAGGGGACACAGGAGCAGGTGGGGAGATGCACAACAGGAGACATGAGAGGCGACATATGGAAGCAAATATTACTGGGCACAGGACTAGAGACACCCTCTTGGAAACAGGCACTTCATGCCACCTCCCAGGGACCTGGGCCCATAGAGAAGCTATGAAGAGCAGATGAAACAGAAACAAACAGTGGCATAAAAGACAAAGAAGCAACAATTGGCAAAAAGGAAACTGCCATGCACTGATTCCAAACTCCTGTGCCACCTGTCACCTCACCAAACAGACAGCATAATTGTCAGTGAAAAGAAGGGGAGTGAAGACTAGGAAGGGGAGAGGAGATGTGTCTGGACTGAAGCTGCTTCTGGGGAAGGCCAGGGAAAGGTACTTGCCAGAACTGCTCATCTTCTTCACTTCTCTACAAATGCTTAAATCAAAGGATTCCCACCTGGGAAACAAAGGCTGCACTGGCTACGGCAGCTTCTCAAAACCTGCTCCTCCAGACTATTTCTTTACATTAATAGAGAGCCTTTAGAATAATTTATCAATAAATGTTGTGAACACCTTTCAGTGCTGTCCCATCAACCCTCTTCTACAGCTCTGCCCACAGAACACTTCCTTATAACCTTCTAACTACAACTGTCTTATCAGTTCCTCAGCATCACTACCAGCTGGGGCTAAAGACTGACCCAGGTTTGGAGTTTCACCCTTCTGCACTGAAAGAACTAAGCTCATTCCTCAGTTTTTCTATGGGAATTTCAGTGGCTGTGCTAGCATAATGCTAGCATAATATAAAGATCACATAAGAATGACTCCTCTGTGTCCCAGTGGTTTCTCTCCATTTCACTTTGCAATAAACTCCCATCAACGCAGTCAGTGCACAGAGATTTTTCTTTCTCTTCTGGCTGGGTTGGCAAAATCAAAGT